GAATACAGAAAAACTGTCCGAGTGGCCAGGGATCAGGTCAGGAAAGCCAAAGCCCTGACAGAATTCAATCTGACTGAGGATGTCAAGGGCAACAAGAAAAGCTTCTTATAGGTACGTCAGTGATAAAAGGAAGACTAGGGGAAATGTAGGCCCTCTCTGCAAGGAAATGGGAGACTTGGTTACACAGGATATGGAGAAGGCTAAAGTACTCAACGACTGTTTTGCCTCAGTCTTCACCAGCAAGCGCTCTAGCCACACCACCCAAGTCGCAGAAGGGGAAAGGCAGGGACTGGGATAATGAAGAACCACCCACTGTAGGAAAAGATCAGGTTTGAGACCATCTGAGGAACCTGAAGGTGCACAAGTCCATGGGACCTGGTGAGGTGCATCTGCAGATCCTGAGGGAACTGCACATGAAGTTGCAAAGCTGCTATCCATCATATTGGAGAAGTCGTGGCAGTCTGGTGAAGTTCCCACTGACTGGAAAAGGAGAAACATAACGCCCATTTTCAGAAGGGGACAAAAGGAAGACTCGGGGAACAACAGGCCAGTCAGTCTCACCTCTGTTCCCAGCAACATCATGGAGCACATTCTGCTGGAAACTACGCTAAGGCACATGGAAAATAAGGAGGTGATTGGTGACAGCTAGCGTGGCTTCACTAAGGGAAAATCATGCCTGACAAATTTGGTGGCCTTCTACAATGGGGTTACAGTGTTGGTGGATAAGGGAAGAGCAACTGCCATCATCTACCTGGTCTTGAGCAAAGCATTTGACACTGTTCTACATGAAATCCTTGTTCTAAATTGGAGAGACATGGATTTGATGGCTGGGCAGAGAATGGATTGAGAGCAGCCCTGAGGAGAAGGACTTGGGGGTGCTGCTGATGAGAAACTCAGCATGACCCAGCAGTGTGCGCTTGCAGCCCAGAAGGCCAACTGTGTCCTGGGCTGCATCAAAAGCAGTGTGGCCAACAGGTCGAGGGAGGTGATTCTGCCCCTGTGCTCCGCTCTGGTGGGACCCCACCAGGAGTACTGCATCCAGCTCTGGAGTCCTCAGCACAGGAAAGACATGGACCTGTTGGAGCAGGTCCAGAGGAGGCTACAAAAATGATCAGAGGGCTGGAGCACCTCTCCTGTGACGACAGGCTGAGAGAGCTGGGGTTGTTCAGCCTGCAGAAGAGAAGGCTCCAGGGAGACCTTATTGTGGCCTTCCAGTATCTGAAGGGGTCCTGCAGGAAAGCTGAAGAGGGACTTTTTACAAGAACTTGTAGTGATAGGACAAGGGGTAACGGCTTTAACCTGAAAGGGGGTAGGTTTAGACTGGATGTAAAGAAGAAATTTTTTGCTATGAGGGCGAGCACTGGAACAGGTTGCCCAGAGAAGCTGTGGCTGCCCCCTCCCTGGCAGTGCTCAAGGCCAGGTTGGATGGGGCTTTGAATAACCTGGTCTGGTGGAGGGTGTCGCTGTCCATGGCAGGGGGGTTGGAACTAGGTGATCTATACTGTCCCTTCCAACCGAAACCATTCCATGATTCTATGATTCTTGTTGGACCAGGGATCAGAACAAGTTTCACGTTGGTAACAAAGTGTCACATCCAATGAAGGGACTGAATTATCCACAGAATGCCCCTTCAGTAGAGTAGATCTTGCAGATGGGAAAGAGGTAGACCTTATAACTTGAGAACTTTACAGGAAGTTGACAGTTCTCTCAGCTTTGCTATGAATATTACTTTGGGCTCTTCTTTTGGATGATTGCTCAGTTAAGGTACAGTTTAGCCCGAGTAGGGGTAGTAATAGGTATGCACAAGTCTGTTCTCTTTTTAGAAATCTAAACTGAATCTACAAAACAAAGAGTGCATGAGACAATTTATAAACATTGGCTTAAATGATAAAGAGGGTCAGTACTTTGGGCGTTACTTTCATATGACAGTGCATCTGAGGAGCTTTAAAAATCTTAACTCTTTAGTAAAAAAGTAAGAAAATTTAATACTCATGCATAGTATGAAGAAATTGGTAAATTAACAATCTTAACCACTGACACTGTTGTCTAGTAGTAAGATATGACTTTTGTGGGAAAAAAAAATATTTGTTGTAACATAAACCCGTTATATTTGAACAACTATACCGAATGGCTTCATTTTTTTAATATTCACTTAAACTGTGATTGTCAGTACCTACAGAACAGGAATCCTTGCCATATTGTTTTTAAGTATAGATACTTTGCTTAGCTTAAGTCATCTGGTTGCAGCTACTTTGGGTGCCTTTGTTCCAGTTTCTGCTTCTGAAACATTTCTCTGTCATAGTTAAGAGTCCCTGACTCATCGGTAGCCATGTGTGTTTTTTGGAGTTCTCAGTTTTATCTTTCCTATAATTGAAAAGAATCTGCCTCTGAAGAAATCTTTTTTTGGTGTCTGTGTATGAAGTGTTGGCCAGGACTGCCTGCTCCTTCTGCCTACGTCCTGTACAGTGCATTGAGGGGATTGCATAGCATCTTGAGATGAGGAAGTTTCCTCCATTTCTAAAACATTATTCTTGGCTGAACTTCTGTAATGTTTGGCAGCCATCGCTGCTTATTTTAAGATGCTCATTAAAGGAAAAAGTTAACAGGATGAGAGACAGCTGCAGGTACTGGCAGTATACAAAATTCCTAATTGCTAAGAGTAACTGAAGCATATTATAGTATAATTCAATTGGAAAAATAGCTGGCACATGCTGTATTTGTCATGTGAGAGCTTTGCACGATGTACTTGCTACAGCTGGCAGATTTATCACCCGTCTGCCAAAATGCTAAAAGCTCACCTTTTGTTTCCTACTCACTTAACAAAGGCAATATGGAGTAGGGACTGATGTGCTTATTCAGCAGTTGGGGTTACTGCTCAATTTTAGTATTACAATCTCCTAATGTGTGTTTGGGGGAGGGTTAACAATCAGAATGAATCGACTGTCTAGCTCAGTAGCCGTCACGTTTCCTTTCACTTACAAGGTTAGACTGTTTTCCTTAAATACATGTTCGGTGTGATCTGATTATAAAAATAATTTCCTGATACACAGCTGTAAACGCGCATGTAAACTCGTTAATGGCCAGTGCTGTTAAGAATGCTGTTTCCACACGTCAGTACAAGTATGGAAGACAGATTGTTTTCAGTAACTAAGAATGTTTAATTTAGAAAATTAATCTGTTTGGATAATCTTCTGAGTTGATGTAACAATAAAGATGGTTTGTCAGAATTTCAGAATTTCCTTATTTTCAAAGCCTTTTTTTCTAGTCTAGTTAAACTTGAACATAAGCAGTCTACACATTGTAAGGAGTAGTGTTTGAATGGTTTTTAGGGAGGTTATTTTGAAAAGGTGTATCTGAAAAGATATGGCAGGAATTTTATAAAATTAATGTTTTTCTAATAAAACAGTTTATAAAAACAACTTTCAAAAAACGGCTCTTCATTAGGGCTTCTGTTTTGAAAATGCTTCATCTTGATGCTTGATACTGATCAAGATTTGCAGTAATAGTGATAAGTATTAACATACTGTCTTGATCCTGGAATTTGAATCCATCTTTAATTTATATAAAAATCTTCACATGTGGTAACACAGGTACAATATATATCTAATTTTAACTATTTAATATCATTTAAATATCTGCCTATGTAGTAGTCTCTTTTTTTATAGCAGCTAGTCAAAACATGTTGAACTATTTTTTTGATATCTTCCTGCAACTCGTTAAACGGATTGGTTGAGAACAAGGGAGTGGAAACCACCAGCCAGGTATACTCCAAACTTTATGTTAACAGATATATTGCAACCTTGTATTTCAAGTGCCATATAGCAGTTTTCAGTCAAACTTAATGAAATATTAGGTTTAAAAGTTTTTAAGAGTAAATTATTGTTGAGAACTAAATGCCATCATTAAAATTGTAGACTTTTTAAGATGGAGATCTGAGGTTAAAGGATCTTCTACCTTGCCTCCATTCCCCCAGACGGAACAAAGGCTTTAGCTTCCTTTACAATGCAGATAGTTTCAGTAACAGGGAGGGCACCTAAAGGTTAGGTATCGCTTTTCTGAGCGTTGTCAATGTGCTAGGTATTCATGAAGGTGACTCCATTTCAGCATACTTTCAAGGTAGGAAAGGAAGGTGAAGTGGGAACGGATTAAAAAATTACTCTTTGCAAATTTGTTTGAACCTCAACATAGAAGGTGAAACAGGGGGGCAAGAATCTTGATCACACCGTTTTTTGTGGTGGCTGTTGCTAGTGGAGTAGAGACTGGTCAAAGGTTAGAGCAGCTCATTTAGTTCTGCATCTTCCTCTGGCTAAAATTACCCAAGTTCAGAGTATTTTCCATCCTTGGTTGTCCCTCTTCTTCAGTGGCTTGGGATGACAGGAGGCAAGCACTGTTTCCTTTGAGCTCCAACTCAGAGATGTCTACCATAACCCAGGTATTTTTTGTCTTCAATACTGTACAAATTCAGGGTCAATAAAACTCATTCAGTATCAAAGTAAAAAGACTGCATTGAAGAAGGTGGCATTTTCCTTTTCCTCATGAAGTGTTACATTGTTGTCTGTTTCACAAGTATAGAAGGGTTTGGGTTTAGGTACTTCAGAGCACCTTCAAAAATGTCCACATTGAAATCTGGTTATGGGACACTAATTAGAATGTTAATCTAAAAATTGAATGCACTTTGCAAATGCAGCTTATAGCATATTTGATGCCTATAAAATAAGATTCAATAAATGGAAAAAAACCTCTGTAAAATGTCAGTGCTCTTGACAAAGGCCTGTTCATTCAAACAAATACATCTCATTCCTCTGCCATTATAGTTTTGAGGACGCATCACATAGAAGTGCTCACTGTGTAGTGCTGTTGAAATCACTGTTTGAAGAGCAACACTGTAATTAAAAATACAGCGGAAGCCCCTACAATGCAAGAAAGTACCCATGAAATTACGTTCCCAATAACTGATGCACTACTGTGTGTTAATCAGCATCTTTTCTTCTGATTGATAGAAGCGAGCTGAGTCAACAAAAACTTCGTAGCCAGGAGCTCATTTCTCAGCTGGAAGCGGCAAATGAAAAGATAACTGAGGTAAGATAATGACTGATATGACAACTACTTTCAATTACAACCTGATGCACACACAGTAGGATCTTAACAGAAACTTATTTAGATGAGTTATGTTGCTGGTTTAGAAAACATTAAGGATTTTTGACAGGAGTAGTCATAGCTGGAAAACCCCAGTTGCTGCTGACTGACACATTCAAACAGCAGGAAGGCAAATTAACTTTACTCTCAGATTACAAGAAAAGGTAAAGGAGAGATCATCTTTCAAGGTTACTAATCTAGCAATTGTAGACAATGCAGGAAATGTTGCAGAAGTCATTTATGCCTGCGTATCCATGCATGCCTCTGAAAAGGAGTAGGCATTGTGTTACGGATCATGTAGCATATGCAGAGACAAGAAATTCTGCTCAGCATACTATGCCTATAGCAGAATTTACACTGCATGTGCATATATGCATGTAGATAAAAGCATTATCCATTAAAGATTAAGGGCAGGGTTGTTCTGGAATGTGTGTTGTTCAATAATTAATGGCCACTTTAGAATGGCCATGGCTATCCTGTCAGCCTCATAAATCTGGGAGAATATTCAATTCTGTCTAGGATAAGTCCTTCTGTGTTGTTTTTTGTAGTGCTGTATTACTGAGTGGAGAAAAATGGGGCTGACTCAAGACTAGATTTCTGTAAGTAAAGGGTGGTTAAGAAAGACTTTATGTATACCCTTTGATGAAGAGAACAGAAGAAATCTGTAGGAAGTTTATCATCTCATTTGTACTATCTGGTATATTCTTCTTCCCTTTGAGTACAGCTAAAACACTTACATTGTAAGATTGCGTAAATTAAATTACCTGAATTAAAATGTCAGCTTTTATGCATCTTACTTCAAGATGGTCAAATGAGTAAAACTTCCTCTGCAGATTACTCTGATTGGAAAAGTCACATGATACCATATTTGAGCTGGAAATCCCCTATAATGTGCCAGCAGTATGTCTTTAGTCTTATTGTAAGTGGGAAACAGTTCCGCTTCTTAAGGTTCTCGTTTTAAGCTTTTTCACTGCAGTGTGTATGGATCCAGTAAAAAGAACTTTGCATTTGTAATGAGATATTTCATTTACACAGGATGAAAAATTAGTGATGCAATATCGAGAATACATCAATAGGCTTCAAAGGCGACTAAGCCAGGCAGAACAGAGGGCAGCTACAGCGTCTCAAAAGGTACAAAACTAACAAAAAAACATGTTATCTAAGCGCATTTTAAAAACCCATTGAATAGTACAAAAATACTGACTTTGTATCATTCCTGAGGCAGAAGTGATCATTTATGTGCAGTATTACTGATATAATTTTATCAACAAGCTTGTATTTTGGATGCATCATCACAAAACTGATGCATATGCAATTAAAAGCCACCTTCTGACAGGATGCTTAAGTGACAGTATAGATTTGTTTATGGAAACAAATTTGATGTGAATTAAACTTGTTATGGTTCAAAATGCATGAGTGAAGGTGTATGATCATTTCCACCTTCAGAAATGGCAGCAAGTTAACAAAGAGGAAAAAAAACCTCCTTAAAAAACTGCAGCCCCTGTTTAGGTGAAGCTGGTGGTTTTTAGCTTGGTGTAACCTACTGCAGCAGTCACAAACGATGGCTTTGCGTGATAAAAAGCAAATGCTGTCCTAATTCCTACACCTGTCTCCTGGGGAGTCCGATTTAAAACAAAGCACGTCGTGAGCTGATGGCTGGAGAACTGCCTTGATAAAAACTGCTAGGCAGCACAGCTGTTTGTGGGAATGCTGTTTGTGGGGTTTTTCAGCCAGGTAAGTTCCCTGGTCTAATTCATTGTGTGGCTGCACAAAGAGCATGGGGAAATGGTTTGTGGACCACCAGAACTGATAATGTGGACCTGTTCAGTGTTCATCAAATTGCAACCTCAAGTACCTTCTGCCATGTCCTGTGAACTCCCAAAGTTGTTAACTTTGTGCCTGTCCACCTGCATGTTCAGTAGTGGCCTCCAGCAGCTGCGTCCCCAAAGGCTGTTGCAGAAGTAACCCCACTGCAGTTGTTATCATCAGCTGTGTATAACAGGCACAGTAAGTCCCGTAATGTCAAAAATACTGAAAATTGTGCAGAGAGAATAGGAAATACTTGTTTTTTTCCAGGCCACGGGAAGGGGGGAAGGAAGGAATGGTGTATGTATCTTGCTACCATAGTGAACATGCCTACTACATGATTCAGCAGTTCTGAGAACTTCAGAGAAGGTGTGCTGTTAGGGCTGCTCGTATGCCGAAGACCTCCTTGTGCAACCACTGTGATCAGTTAATGAGCTGAATTGTTGCTGCCTTCCTTTTCCAGTTCTCTTACAACTCAGTTTCAACTTTGAGCAGTACTACTCACTATCTGTAGACATAAGGGATGTTGGGAGGAAAGGTTTTATTCTCTTCAGAGAGAGAAACTTTGTCTTTTAATTGTCTAAACCCCATGCTACCTATAATTCTGTATTTTCGCTGCTGCACAGTGGGTGAGGTTCTTTTTCCATCCCAGTGTTCTTTTTTCCCTACTATTCAAGCTGTACATCTTGAAGCAAATCCCATGGAGGGTTATACGCTGGGTTCACTCCTTTGACAAGCAAATTTGTTAATCAGGTTGCTCTCCTAATAAGTAAAGGTGGTCTTCCTGCCTCCTAATTTTTTACAGTGGTTTAGGAAACCTATTTGCAAATTACAGCTGTTTAATGTGGGTGATCCCATGTGAGTTGCAGAGAGGAAATGTTTGGTTGTCCAGTGAGGACAAGTGGCATTTTTTTCCCCAGCAGCAGTGACTAAACAGGCATAGCTGCCAAGCTGTGTTTCCTGGCTGTAAATGCTCTCTGTCATGACAAGGTCTACCCAGCTGGTGAAGATTTGCTCTGAAAGAGTGATTTGTGGTTTTTTACCTCCTGTTTGTTCTATGGATCTGCTCAGCTCTAATACTTGTGAGGTGCTGTCTTCCCTTAAAAAACACAGTCATGTCACCTTTCAAGGGAGTACATTCCTGGCCTCAGTGCCCATGTAGGAAGAGGTCTTGCTGTTCCTGAAAACACCAGTAATTAACTGTTCCTCACCAGTCTCCCTCTGAAAGGTAACAAAGAGGTTTGAGAAGATGTTTGGCAGCTAAATTGTTCTCCAGATTTTAGCTGCCAGGCTTAGAACTGCCTTGCCCTTGTCAGGCTTGGCAGAGGTTACTGCTGCCAGCTGTCAGGCACCGCTTCCTCGTAGGGACTTCAGAACTGCTGTGCCAAGCCCCTCCATCTCCCCATCACCCCCTCCGCAAAGAGACGTACCAGCGCTGTCCCGCTAAAGGCTGGAAAAAAGCAGTCTCCAGGAGTAACTGGTACAACAATGTCTGCTCTTCTGAGTCTGAGGAAACAAGGTGTTTGTCCTCTTCTGGCTCTCGGAAGACTGGATGTTTGTGTGTGCTTCCTCAGATGCAGAATGGTAACTCCTCTGTTACCATTCTGAATCTGTAGGTTGAGGGCTACATTCTGAGTTAATTGTGTATTCTCATTACGTTATCCAGCTTGCTTGTAAAATTAAATCCAATATAGGCTGGAGCTGGATTATGAGGGAGTCTAAAAATCACATTTTTATTGTGGTTGGTTCAATGACTATAATCTTAACTTATTATGAAGTAATAGTAATTCAGTAAGAAACATAAAAAATACAGGATGAAATTTGCACAGGTTTAAAATGTGAGTATTCTGTGTAGATGTCTTTAAAGTGTACTCCTGCTGCCTAATCTTTTATCATCTTGAATTCTTTGGGATCTGAAATAAGATGAAAGCAGTAGTCATCTGTAGAGTGTGTTGTAAATTCTACTGCTTATCCCAAATTCCTACTTGTTCCCTCTCCTTCGTGACACCTTCCATAGTTCTACTGGTACTTCGATCTTACAAACAATTACATAATAAACTTTGTTTTTAATTACAGCTCAGCCTGGTGACTACACAGAAGAAAAAAGCTGCTTCCCTGAAGGACCTGGAAAATATTTAAACATACGTATTGTTCATTCCCACCATGTTGGGGTTAAGAGGATTTCTGGAGAAACTTCCATATTGGAGCATTAAAGTCAAATGCATAGCAAGGCTTGTAAAGCTTAGATAAACATTTTCTGGTTTATTCAGGTAAGAAAGGGGGTGGATGAAGATACTGTATCTGTATGCATTGTAAAGATTGGAAGAAGACTGCAAAATGATGTAATTAAAGTCCTTTAATGTAGCAGATGAAACAATCTGATACAGTGCTCTGGCTTATTGGTCTTTTTTGGTCTGAAAAACACCAGCTCCAACTACGAGGAGATTGTGTACAGGGAATAGGTAACATGGAAATTCATGAACGGCTTTGCTCACATACAGCCGATACTTTTAATTTTTCTTTGTAGTGCAGTGACGTGGGAACATTTTGAAGATCTTCTATGAATTGTAGCAAGACACGAATTACATCATGAATGTCAAATATGTGCTGGTTTTATGGGAGGCGTTACAATGGGGAAACGCCTCCATTGCCTTCCAGTTTTAAGAATTTGGTTCCATTTGTTCTGATGCCCCTGGGAAACAGTAAAAAATATGCTGCTGTGGCTATTCAAACAGCTCATTTCTAAGGACCAGAGTCTGTCTTCAGCTGTGCTTTTGCTTCCTGTTTCACAATGTCCCTTGCTCAGTTTGTCCGGGTCCGGGAACTTCAGTTCTCTGTTACTTCAGTTTGGGCAAGGCTGGTGAAGTCATCCAGCTTTTATGCATTTCAGAATAGTGTGTTTGAATTCCACAGATGCCAGTATGAGGGAATCCTCTTGCATATGTTCGATAGTTGAGAAACTTCATATGTATCATTCTAAAATTAGAGCTGAACTTTGTTTTTGCTTTCAGCATAAACAGTTGATAGGTCTTAACTGATTCTGAAGTGCTCCTATCTTGGATGTAAGTGATGTTAATTTCTTGTCCTTCCTCCTAAATGTGAAGAGTAATTGTGGTATGTAACTTCTGAGTCCATAGAATGGATAATGCTTACCCAATGCTTGCTGAAAACAAACCCGTATGTCTGTCACAGTGGATCTTCACCATATTTGCATTTTAGAGGACAGACCACATCGAAGTTGATCACCACATCGAAGTAAGAGTTTGTGCCACCTCCTGAAAACCTGGCTGTTCAAGTAGAGCCTGCAAGATGGATGCAACCTGAAGAAAAATTTCTGCTTACCGCAGAGCAAGTTACTGTTTCTTACAGTTGTAGACATATCTTTACTAGTGCTTTTTCAGTTTGATACAGCCTGTATGCATTGCACTCTCTAATTTTGCTAAAAGACTCCAAAGATTTTTCAAAGCAACATGGATACTTTGTCCAGGAGCTCCAAATGTCTGTTGCAGTGAGATTTTTCATCCATATCAACCCTGTATATGATACGGAGGGTGGTAAGGACCAAGCACCTTATTTTCATTTGCATAAGGCACATCTGAGATGACGGCAGACCACCTGGAAGATTTGGTGTGAGCTATTAACCCCACTCACTCCATAAAGTGAGGCTCTAGCTGTGAAGTGAAACCCAGCTGAAAACGGTGGGCAGTTCTAAGTTTCTGAGCAACAGAATTTGCGTCTTTGTTCCTTGAGGCGCAGAAGGACACCTGCTTGGTTCCCTTTTAATTCACTTCAGTTGGTGGTGTAGCTCTTTTGTTATGGTTATTTGCCAGAATATGAATTGCAATGATGACACAAGCACCTAATAATACAGTTAAGGGGCAGCAGAGCAATTACAGCAGATGACACAAGAAAGAAAAAATTTCCTGCTTTCATCTGCCTGCCTAATCCTCTGAGCAGTGAAAAATTGACCAAATACATCTGTCTGAACTGCAAAAGGGAATGTGGTCAAGTTAAGCTCTCATCATCCTACCACCACCTCCTCTCATTTCCCTTTGGCTTCTAGAGGAGGCTGCTGGCACAGTGCTCAAGTGGGACTTTCAGAGGAAAGGCACTTGCTGAGGCAATTAAAATTGGAGACAGGCTTTTCAACCATCTGTCTTGGTTGTTTTACATTTGTTTCAATGTATGTATTTCTTGTCATTCTTCCATTGAAAAGTTTTTGCTTCCCCTACCTTCCTTTCCCGCCCCAACACCAGTTTTTGAGTGGTTTAAAGACTCCCTGGTGTGCTGTTGATGCTCCCCATTGAGTAAAACTTGGTTCTTGACTGTGTTTATTAGGAAAAGTTTCTAGGTGAATAATTACTTCCATTCGACAGGTGAGCGAAACTGACTATAGTAGTACGAGTTTCATTTTGGGTTTTCCCAAGAGCCCTATAGCTTCTGGCATAGGCCAGATCTTGAAAGATCTGTCACTGCATACAAGACGCTTTTTCTCAGTCTAAGTGGTTAGCAAGCTGCGCTTGGCTCTGACCCCGTCGGACTCGGGTAACCCCAGCAGTGCAGTGCCTGGCAGAAGGGCTGCTGACAGCAAGACCTGTAAAGCAGCTGCAAGAACCTCTTTCAGACTGTCACTTGGGCCTTGAAGAGCTTGTACGAGTAACCCTTAGGAGGGCCATCATTTACTCTTCGTTCTTTGAAACAGGATGTTGAGGTCTGCCACTCACAGCTGCCCGCAGTGCGAATGCCTGTGATACAGGTACAGATCTGAGAGAAATTATTTCCCCGTCGCTGTCTTTCAAGATGTATTGCTAGACATACGCCTTCACAGCCTTGTCCTCCTCTTGCTCTGCTCCAAGTCCGCCCCGTGTTTCCACAGCTTGAGTCAAGAGGAAGCAAGAGGAAAGGCCCCACAGTGCCCTTCCCGCCTTGTCTCCCGCAGATCCTGCTGCAGCGGCGAGTGCCCTCTGGTAGCACGGTGTGGCTGGGGGCAGCGCAGGGTGTGACTGTACATGCAGCGTACGTGTCTTGAAGAGCTGTATGAAAATTATGGGCTTCGGAAGGATGTCGTATAGCAACAAATGGGAACTATCTGAAGTAAGCAACATCTCTCTGAGGATCTCAAGGATAAAAGCATACAATGTTCTGTTGATGGGATAGGCACAGCTGTCAGTAACAAGACCCTACACTATTCCTCAAAAACAGAAAATCTTGCAACCGCAGTGTACATTTTGATACCTCTAATAATCCAAATTAAATGCTTATTTTAACCATGAAAGTTGTTCAGATCATTGCAGTGAAGTGTTTATGTAAAAACCCAAACAAAATAACTCCTGCAAATTCTAAAACACTGCTGGCAAGGATACTGCAAAAATGTACAGCATTTATTCACATACAGACAAAAAGGCACAATTCTACTGAATATTTTAACAAAAAATACAGCTGTCTTCAACTAGGTCTTTATAAATACTTCAAAAAAGGGAGAAAATAAATACAGGATTGGGCCATGTAATATAAAATAGTCATCTCTACATATACTTTTTATTTCTGTTTCTCTTCATGCACCTTTTTTAATTCATTTCAGCTGAATGGACACCAAAGCTAGGCACATAGTGAAAAATCTTCTGTACAAGGTTTTACAAATGTAATGACAATTTTCTGAAATTTCTGAACTTAAGATTTATACACAACACGTATAACCCTTCATTTAGATTTGTGTGAGTTTATAACCTAACACACGGCATTCCAGGCAACGTTACAGAAGTTCAACTAGCCTACAGTTTGACAGAATACACCAATCATAATCAAAGTTCTCTTGGTCAGTCTGCACAAGGGAAGGTAATGCTTGAAAACAGAAATTCAACAAATGGTTCTAGCCCAAGAAAATACAGGGGTGGGTTTCTATTATCACTGCAGTACTTAACAATACCTCTTCTGCTGAGTGCTAAGCATGGGAGACAAAACTAACCTACAGAGCTGGTCATACTGCACTCGTCTTACAGCTTTTTTGGTTTTGGTTCAGCTTAACTTGAAACATTAGAAAGCTTATTAACCTAAACAGCGGGGAGAAAACAGATAAGGCATTAATTCTGCACAACGCTAGCATTCGTCATAGTGCAAATTAACAAGGTACCTCTTCCAAAGTGGTGTGAGGTTAAATATTTACTTAGAATCAAAATTTAGATTATTCCATCTATGGCTTGACAAACAATTCCCTATATTGTCATGAGCTTCTTTCTTACAGAAAATACCAGTGCCTGTCTGGAAAACGTTGCTTTATGCCCAGTAGAACTTACCTGCGGTTACCTTTTGTCTGTCCATTGTTGTTTGAGCAAGTAAGTACTTTTAACACATCCCAAGAGCAACTACGAAGCTTCAGATTCACCAGTGCCCTGTTTGACTTTCACCTCTCTAAGTTGTGAAGTTAAATTCTTGGGACCAGCAATGGTATTTTAAAAGTACACTATCATCTTACACAAAATTCCCCTTCCTCAGCAGCACCCCAAAAGGTATCAAAAGGTTAAGACTTCTGAGTTTTAAAACAAACAACAGGGATGCATTCTGCTGAAATACTTAATAAAGAGATAACTTGCATAGCAAGATGGGGTGTTAATAAGCCGCCTTTTTTTTTTCCCCTCAATTGAATCCTCTGGAAGACTCAGTTATGGCAGAGTTCTGCTGCGTTTTCAGTGTTCCCTGCTCAACAGGCAAGGGGAAAAAGTGAGTGGATGTGAGAACGGCAGGCTAGGCGTAGAAAAGGGGGGCTGGGGGAGGGGGGTCTTTATGCCTGTCTTTCTGTAACGCATTGCTGCTTAACTTTTTCACCAGTACATACTGACTTACATCTATGCAGAATTCCAAAATTTGCAGGCTCCTAACACTCCTAATGATCTGTTTAATATTATTGCTCATAGCTTACTAGTTATTGCCATTTGCAATTATTAAAAAAAAGTACACAATCAGAATGAGTTCCCTCTGCCATCAAATCTAGTCCAGAATAGAAGGATATACTTTTTCTGCATTTGACTGTAAAGAGCTAATCACAATTTATTGCCTTTCCATTTTATTCTATTTAAAAATATATATTCACATCCCTTTTAAAGCAACCCTTTAGTGTCATAAGCCTGGCTTTCCCAATACATACCATTAGTGCATACATGGTGGGCTTTGGGAAATCCTACTGACTAGTGCCTTTAGAGATTTTTTTCCTTGAATTGTCATCGTACTCCTGGAGACAGGTGACTGACTGAATGGTGACGGGTTGTTCTGCCGGGTGCAGTAACCCACAGGCTTGACCTCTTTCTCAGAACTGAGCCATTGCAGAGTGTCCTCTGTGCTCAGCCTGAGCCGTTTCAAGCTGTTGCACTGTAAGGCAGCTGCAGCCCTTCCTCCTCCTCCTGTGTAACGGCCTGGTTAAACCTGCTCACCTTGTAGGTGTATGTACATGTAAACTCTGGAGCGTACGGCAGGTTCTGAGCTGCCATCTGTGCTCAGACTGAATGCAACAGAAAACATTCTGCAAACAGAGGAGAAAGACGTACCGCCCTCCAAGGAACGTGACCATCTGTAACAGGCTTCAGCCGTGCGGTATGGTTACACAACCATCTTCGACTCACTACACACTAGTTAAAGTCAGAGCTTGTGCTTTTCCAGAAGGCGGGGAAGGGAGTAAAATTTTATCAGTGCTTTTTAGCTAAAAGGGATGAATGCAGCCTACTTCCCCTACCCACCCTAGCCCCTTCTAAAAGGTTTTTGTGAGTTACTTTAGTGTTCATCACAAATCGTGTTTTAGTAGTGATGTCACTTCTCTGCTTACTCGGGAAAGTTGCAAATAAAGGAGATTCAAACTTCTCACAGAATTGGGGGGGAAGCAAAAAAAAACCCAGCTTTAAGTGCATGTAAACATGTTTCTACAGCTCAGGAATAATGGGCTATCAATTTGTCAGTCTGTAGCCATGTCTAAGAACTCTCCTCTCTCACCAATAAATAATGCGAAGTTGGCTTGTAGGCAGTGACTCTACTGACCACGGTGGTGACACCGTGTCCCTGTGTCCAATCAGGATGCCAGGATGCTTCTCCTAATAATGTCCATCCTTCTGCTCATAGTGCTGCTGGGACTGAGCCTCTGCTGCCTGCACTTTTTTTCAGCCACTTCAGTCTCTGAGTCGCTCATTTCAGCATCCGGGACGTACCCATCATTCTCGCTGTCAGGCTTTAGCTTGCTTTTTGCCCTGTCCTTCGGTGAAACTCTGCCCACACCCAGGTAGGAGTAGCTGGAGTTCTGGCGGCAGCTCTCCTCTGGGCTCTCGCCCTGCTGTTGCCTCTCCCCCTTCTTTGGAATTCGGAATCCGCCCCAGTTCTTCACCGGGCTCGTGGGCGTCGTAGGCACTTTAACTATTGTCTGATTAGAGTTTACTCTGACAAGACCCCCATTGCATTTAGGCACTATATCCCTCCGGGTGCCAGGTGCCGACCTACCACTGGAGTGGTTCACAGCCCTTTTGTTTTCTGATTGCCTCTGAGAGAGTTCTGTGGGTCTTAGTGGTTTGTGGTTGTGTTTAGAAGTCTTTTCCTTTAGTTCCGCCTTGGTCACCTCATACTGTGGCCGATTGTCTTGTCTTTTTCTGTGGTCGGGTACAACTATGCCATTCTGCTGTGCTGATACAATCCGTGTTTCTGCAAAGGTCTTGTCAAAATTTAAAAAGCCACCTGGAGCTGCACCCCCTTCCCTTTGGCTGGGCTGCCCCAGCATGGATTTGCTGTCATTCCCAGAGCTGTTTCTTACTCTGTCTCTCTTGTGTGGTTTTTTCAAAGAGTGGGTTAGAGATGTGCCCATTTGTTTCCTGAAGAATGCAGAATGCCATTTCAAATCCTCTATCTTGGGGGCATTGGGGCCCAAAGATGGGCTGTTGAACAACACCGTGTTTTCCACTGAGGAGAATGAGGGAGGCACACCTAAATGTAAACAAATTAAGTTAAAGTCAAGCAGTTCCGTGTCTGGGTAAATACCACTTTTGAATATACCTATTTTAATGCTGTTCCTCACGCCTGAAGTGTTCTCCAGCATAAATAGGTATTTGGCTGCCTATCCAGCACCTTTAAGTCACAATTATGTGGCTGTGTTGTGATTTCACAACATACTGCTATGTGTTGTTTACTTCCCTGTAGCCATGCTGCACCTAATTACACCTGTAGCAAATACAAATCCCAGCACTGCTATATCCACCAGGACAGAGAAACTCCTTGGAGAGGGGAAAACAAGCAACCAGCAAGTGGGTCTGCTTGATGCGATCTAAAATACACTTTATTAGGTTACTGAATACTTTAAGGATAATCTAGTTAATGCAGTAACTTTGAAGTGATTCATCCTTCTGAGAAGAGACCACTGTCAATGAGATTAGGCAGAAAAAAAGTGTTTAAAAACCAGTGCGCTACCTTATCAAAATGCATTTCTTTAAACTGCCATCTATGATGCAAAGCAGCACATCCTAAACACTAATGCAGCAGCACTAATAACCGCGGACTGACTGCGTACGATACGGCATGTGAATGTGAGTCGTGGTCTCTCTGTCGTAAGGAGTCAGTGGAGAATCATACCAGACGGGACCTGAAGCAGGAAGCCATTCAGTGCCCCATGGAGAAGAGCACAGACTTACCAGATCCTCTAGCAACGTGCTCACCATGAGAGCTACAGAGATTAGCATTTTTTCTTCCAATCTGCTGATGCAGACTACACAAGATTTTAATATGAATAAATGAGATCCCTTCAAAATTAGTCATCAGCCTGTAACCAAACCTTTCAGTGCTTTGGCCTGTGGTCTCACGTGAAAAAGATAACACTGAAGCGTACCTGAAACTCTCTCTTGTTCCAGCTGCTTTACGTAGATATTAAATATCTGTTCTTGAACTTTGCAAACAGATCTCTTGATTTTTTCCCTTCGGGTTACCATGTAAGTGAGATTACGCACCTAGAAGACATCAAGTTGATGAGTGTTACAGGAACTGTGTTTCTGTAATGTTGTCAATCTGTGCTTTGAGTTAGTTCAGTTTAAGTACCAAACACCATTTAAACAAGTTAGTAATGTATTGAAGTTTAACCTTCTTCAACACACGTCTTAGAAAAGAGTCTTAAATACCATTTAACTGACAGATTATTTGATCAGATTTGGGAGGGCCACAGCACAGAAGTAACTTCTGTGAACACCTGTATCCCATATTTATATATATGTGTGCATATATATAGGAAATCTAGAGAAATGGTGGAAGTGCTTAAATATACTCAGTATTAAATAGCTGAGCACCATTTGCTTCCCGTTGTTTGAGACACAACAGAAAATTATATTTAATTAATAGCATGAAATGTGGAGAGCTATTCAACAGTGCCAGTCTTTGATGACTCTGCCACTGCAGGGGCTGATTGACCAACATGAAGGCAGGCCAGTGTATTCACGCCATGGCACGATGGAGGTATAGCAGGGACTGGAAACACTAATGCAACTATTATTTATTTTTACTATCTCGGGTTTTTTTTAGAAGAGAACTACATTTCTGCCCTGAAAATGTGACTGTCTAATCCAGACAGCTGTGTAAGTTTAACAGCCACCACTCCCCTAGAGCTCAGAAGTTATTTCTTTGCAAGATGAGGGAAGTGCCGAGAGCACCCGTGGGTGTTTCCAAGGCTCCTCTCTCGGTTCCGTGTAGCTGCGTGCAGCGCGGTGCCCTGTGGATTACAGCCTTGTAGGGTGACCTCAAGCCATTGCGGAGGAGACGTTCAACAAGTGTGGCTGATCTTGCTACAGCCCTGCTCTATTTAAGGCTTCCAGTGCAGGGACAGCCAGTACTTTAAGTAACTGCCGTTACCCGGCAGATTTGAATTAGAGGGGATTCGTCTAGCCTGGTACCCTTTCCGATACAGTCCATGACTGTTTGTTCTTTGCCTTGGCCGAGCCAAGCTGCACAACAGATTTGCCATGTCCACAGAAGGACCTGTTTCGTTAATGAGCTGGATGGCACGATTTCAAAATCTGTTTCTAGATGGTTGACACTGTCACTAATGTCATTCATAATTAAGTCTACCTGACTTTAGCTTGAAGTGGAGAAAAAAAATGTAGGCTCGGGGTTTTTTTTCATCCAATTTATCTTGGATGGACAATCAGTGGGAATAGTGGAGTATTAAAATATTACTAGAATGGTGTATCCTGTTTTGACATCACACTTAAAAATGGAAAGGATACATACAGAATAACTTAAGATACAGAGAACATCATGACAAACTCAACTTACTTAGCTGATCAAAGAGAAGATTAAAAGAAATCTTGAGCAAACAGAGTAGGAACAAAAGACGCTAGCTCACAGTTATCTCACCGAGCTAGAGAAGGGTCATGGGCTGGAAGTTTAAACTAGAAAAAAACTTCAGATGAAAAACTGCAATTATTCATTAGAAGAGTGATTAGCCACCAGGATCCTGTACAAAGGAGGCAGTGGAGGCATGACCGCCCCCTGTCCTGATTTAAAGACGGGATGGCAGTCTGGAAGAGAGGCTCTCGTCCACCCACGGGTTACTGAGGCTGAGGTCAGACCCCCGAGCCAGGTTCCACACATGGCCTACACAAGCCATATGCCGTATAGACGTGAAAAACTAAAATGATTTCAGTACTCTTTCTGGCTCCAACATATCTTAAACTCTACTAGTTAACCCCCAGAAAACCAAAAAGGAAGGAATTCAGGTCATTACAGCATCAGATGTACTTAAGACAAAACACCAAACTGATCCTGGCTGAACTGTTCCTTAAACATTCAAGACCTGATTGAGTGGAGTGTCATGGGCCTCCCAAACCGACCACACAGACAGCCCAGTCAAATGTGATCCCACTCTGCCGTGTCACTGAGAAACAGATCTGCTGCAAATCAAGGTAAGTTTCATAATCCTTTCCTTGTGTGCCAGATGAAAGGAGCAGAGAAAGCCCTTAAAGGCTAAAAAAGCTCCAGCTGGGGGTTGCAGTACAGTCCACAGCCATCAGTGTCAATCAGTAAAAAAGCGTAAGTGGAAATACGACAATCCAGTTATACGGAGACTGGATACTACACGCCGAGACCTGCTGGCCCTGTGAGCTGACCCTCTCTTTGACAAGGATAACGGGTGTGCTCTGCAGAAATTCAGCGGTACTGGTCTTTTCTGACAACAGAACTTTGAGTTAAGGTGCAGCATGGTGTGTCTGCGTGCCAGGGCAATAACTGAGGGCGCAGTCTGGAAACGCGGCTAACGAAGGCCAGCAGACATCACGCAAGCGCAGGCAGCACAGTGGCTTACCCGCTCTAGATCTTGCCGGAGGTGTGTGAAGAGCTGCAATCTTCTGAACAGAACATCCTGCTCCCTTTTAGCCAGATTGTCCTCTTCATCCTTCTTTGGGGTAATCAAAGGCTTATTGAAGTTGGCTTTTCTCTTCAGCTTCCAGTACTGGTAAAGGAATTCCACCGGCTCCTCGGGCAGCTGCAGCACTTTAGCCACTTCCAAAGACTCGACAAAGGTATAGAACTCATCCTCCAGCTGCTGGAGCTTTTGCTTGCGGAGGCTGACTCTGTGGGCCTCCTCCTGGTTTTGATCCATGCTGTGGAAAGGGGTGATGTGGGCAGGAAGAGAGCTGTCCTGAATCCCGTTCCCGTTCTCCTGACCTGGGCTTTCACTGAAAGTCTCATCATCCGCTTTCCTGGTGGAGCTGTGCTTGGGACAGTACGACTTAAATTTCACCTCATCGTTCTCTGCCAGTATGGTCTTCATCTCCAAGCCACGGTCAAATGCGCAGGTGACGTGAAAGGCTGTTCTGCAGTTTTTCACTGAACACTACAGAAATTAAATTAAAATCAATCAAATATAACTTTAAGAAGCCACACCGCCTAGAACTATTCCAGCAGCCAGGACTGCTCTGAAGAACAACCCTGTCACCGGCGCTCTGCTGCTCAGCTGCATGGACTGTCTTGCTCCCCTTTAATTAGGTTTACGATTTAGTGCGTTCAGGCCAGGCAGCAACGCAGTGGCCCAGTGGGACAGGAGTGGTTCGCCCGTCCCCAGCCCAGTCACGCTGTTCAATAGCCAGCAAACCCACCAGAGGAGTGCTCTTGGCGTCACCAGCGCCACTCACACCAGGCAGCGTCACACAAAGGAAAGCGTCCCCCTTTGGCTGCGCCAGCATGAGAGAGAGGGAAAAACATCTCGGTGGCTCCAGGCCAGCTGCGTACTTTTAATTAAAAGTCTTTCCCAGCACCTGGACCCGCACTACCCAAAAGGCCTCAACCGAGGGGAATTTTTTTCTTCCTGTTCTCCCAATTTTATAATGTCAAATATTAAATCACTGTCAATCACCACTTCACTGACTACAGCCTTCACTTCACCCGGGGGACGAGGAGAACAGGAAATTCAATTTTTTGTCTTTTTTTTTCCCTCCCAGTGAACCCAGCCATCGTAGTGTGATGGGCACTAGTTCAGCTGATTTAGCACTTGATTTCAATTATATGTAACTTTCTCTTGCAAAATGCTGTCATAGCTATTGCCAGCCACAAACTGAAAGGTTTAAATATATATATGTATGCATATACACACATGCATACATATGCATTTGTATCAATTCACACCTCTGCCTCCAGTGAAAAGAATTTAAAGTGGAAATGAACATTAGTGCTATTAACTGGGAGGAAACACAACTATGCTTAACTCCAGCCATCTAACTTTAAAGAGAAATGCGTTGCACTAGGATGTTTGCACGGTACTTTGTAAAGACACCAAATATCTGTCTCCTCTGGGTTTTCCTGCTCAGGTTGACTCAGCAGCCAGATGGCATATAGAGGTACAACAGAGTACCTTTAAACTGCAGAAGTTTCAAAAGAACATTCTTTAATAAAACCAATGGGAATTAAAGAATACCAAAGCATCTTTTGCCCTTTGCTTTCTTACTAACAGACAGGGGGAAAGCAGCCCAATTGGAACACCACACAATACAGAGGAGTCCTTCGCTGTGGTTTCCAAGCCGCTATTGTTTGGAATAATCAGCTCTTGGTGTGGCTGGGGGGGTTTTTGGAGACACTCACAGCTGCCGGCTTTTCTAACCCTTGTGCACATCTCGTAACCCCTCTGGGGGATCTTGCTCTCTGGGTTCATCCAGTTAACGCTGCTCCCTTTCTATTGTCATGCCTTTGTATAATGTTATTCTCTGCTGTATAAAATTTCACAACTCAAATCTAAATATTTCTCACTGCTAGCTTTAAGGATACTGAGATTTACACAACTCCTATAAAATGTCAGGCAAAACTGCCATTTTTTGTCTCTTCCCCATCATTTCAAATGTGCAACTGTCTGAAGAGGCAGCCGTCGTGCCTGCATGTCAGCCCGCGTCGTCACTAGAAGGGGAGAGGTGGTACCGAAGAAATACTCTGAGAGAGACACTCCACCCCCCTCCCCAGCACACTAACATACATAACTACTCAGGTGTTCAACTTAAATTGCTGTAAGTTACCCCTCAGCACAGGTCTGGAGAATGGACAAAACACCTTCAACTACACAACAGCAGCAGAGGAAGGGGACAGCTCTGCAAGGAGGTATTACGATTGCAAATTTATATGCTGTGGACAGATTTATTTTCTCTACTTAACATTTACTATTTTATACATTCCTTAAATGGAAACGGACCAATAGGTTTCACTGGAACTACTGCTGCATTGCTGTTTTACAACTTTTTCTGGCAACCTCAACAAATACTCGGAGCAGAAGAAAAAAGGAAATGGATAATATCTAATTTTTAAAAAGTACAGGACTTCAGAAATTTCTGCGTCTTAGTGCTGGTCTCACCATCATGGATCCTGTAACATCAGGCTAGCCACAAAACCGAAAGGGCTCTACTTCTTCAGACTTCTTACGAGACAGTAGTATCTTCCCATCTGTCTCAGGAAGCTTTCTGGGGATCATTTTGCTGCAGTATATGAAGCACTTTAACGGTGAGGAACATGACCACAGTACTAAGCTACACTCTACTGTCTTTCTGCACAATCACAACACTGCCCCGAGCGGGTCACCTGTCCTCACTCTCAGCATCTGTTCTCGAGTAAGGCAGGTCAAAGTTTTGTCTTGTGTCTCAGGAAACCAAGTATCGCCCCTTTCAAAAATCTGGGGCTTGGTAATGTGTTTTCTCAAGCTCTTTAGATTTTAAAATTGTTCTTAAAATTATTATTTAACATTTCTGAGTGATTTTCCACTGTAAAGGATCTGCAAGTGCTTTACAACTAAAAAGCCAATATAAATATGCACGTGAAACCACACTGCCCAGTGTGAAATGCTCCGGTGCAGATCAATTCAGTTATTTATTTAACAGTGACAATTCACAGGCTACAGTGCGAAAGGCTGAATCCAAATCCAACTGAAACTACGGAGAGAATTTCAGAAGTACACAATGAGACAAACTGGCACTGGCCCAAGAATGTGAGCTGTCGGTATGAAACAAATGGCTTTATACTTTAATTATTTATTGCACATGGAAATCATTCTTTTTTGGAACTATGAAGACCGGGCATTTGTTTTGATTCTGCCCTGCCTTGCTGTTTTGGGCAGTCACCATCCCTGAGCTCAAGTGAGTACCACAAGTCAGAACAATAACGTGGTGCACGCCTCTGCAGCAATGTGAACTGGGAAACTCACACCCAGGAGCTTTTTGTCCCCTTCGAAACACCAACGGCTCCAGAATCCACCCACGACTGATGGAGGAAACAGGGCGCATTTCCTCAGCTTGTGGCGTGCTGGAATCTCAGAGCAGAGCAGTCAAAATAATCTGTTTCTTTGCTGCTGCTCAAAAAGCCCAATATTAAATGATCGGATATTCTCACCAGCAACTTAAAAGCTGGACCAACAACAAAACAGTTACAGAAAAAATAGTTACAGCCAAAACAGTCCAATGTCAAGCAGTACCTAGAATTACAAATTCAAAGCTACAACTAGCTTTATCATCAAAGTGAAGGTGTTCACTTCCTCCGACTTCACTGAGCACTGGGCATGCTCAGCACCTTAGAAATTCAGGTTGTTACAGGAAATACTCAGCTCCCACTGAGGTATCCACCTTGTCCGAGAAGTCACTAAATAGGGACTAGCAGGTAGGTTTCGGCACAGAAGCTTTCAGCATTGAAGCTCCATTTTTGTATGTGGTTTTCTCCTCAACAACATTTAAGTTTTATTTCAGCATACAAACAAATGTTATCAGCATATCTACAAATTAGGAAGTCTTATGGGATGACCTAACTATTATTATTATTAAAAATTTACTAGAAAGTCAGAGCACACTAACATTCAAAAGCACTTTGTGTGCAATGAAGTCCATAGTAACAAACAGGAAATCAAAGTTTACTGCAGATACACATTTTGTGTATCTACCACAAGCTAACTAAACAAAACATGCAGACACTTCTGTGACTAAATTACCTGTATAGAAGCTCCAACTTTTTCATTACAAAGGCTGCACACCAGTGCCCACCGGCTGCTGGGAATGTGAGAAACCTTTGTAATGGGCTCCATTTTTTCTGGGCTTCCAATGCTCACCTAAGAGAAACAAAGGTTAAAAAAAAAACCAGAGTGACTACTACACTGTTAACTGAAAAGGGAAAAAGTTTTATCAAAGAAATCAAATGTCTTCTGTGCGTACGCAAAATTAGCATGTCCCAAGTTCCTCAAAAAATCAAAATTACTTTTTTAAAAAATCAGCTCCTCACTGCTTGAACCAAACAGTTTCAAGGTGAAGCCCACCAACTTAAAATCATCATACACACGATGAGTATTTTGATTATGAGGACCCATGTGAACTCTTTACTGTCACATCCAGGCCTTTCAATTCACCTTTAATGTTCCATTTACAAAATAAAACGATACTTTGTGTGCTTGTTAAATGAGCTTTGCCAGCAGCAAAGGCCTAATCTTTTGAGGCCTAGGTTTGGTTGACAAACGTAATGGAATTACTTTCTTTACAGATGATGCTTCATCCTGCCAGACTTTATGGCTAATTGAAAATCTTTTATACTGTTTTCTTAAGTAGTACCATATATATATGCTACACTCAGGGTAGCAACAACACGCGCTAGGTCAAACAATGGTTTTAACAGATTTCTTCTCTCCCAGAACTCCCGCAGCCCTGAACTCCCAGTGGATCGGCACCTACCTCTGGAATCCACAGAGCACAGCTGACATGGACCCACTTGGTGCCACTCCGGGTCGGCTTCATGGCACCACCCTTCTTGGGACACAGCAAACACTTGGCCTGGACACCAAGTGCGCACGTCCTGCACAGCCAGCTGCCTTCCGGCACCTTCAGGATCCCGTAACACGCCTGTATTCCCATTTACAGAAAAGGGGCAGAAAACAAAGGAAACAACATGCATTTCTGTTACGTTTTAGCTGTTTACATGTAGCCTCTCACACCTCTCAAAATGTTCTTTATGGAATTTCCAATGCTATAGAAATATCAGCTTGCGGAGGATCTTGGGACGCCTCCATGAACTTAGCCAACCACACTACCCATTCATTCCTGAAAAAGATCTTTCAGTGAAAGGAGCAGAAGTCACGACCAGCTGCTATGCAAAAAAACACTGCCCACTTCTCCACTGGGAAAGAGCGAGGGGACCCCCGATAGACAACCCTGCCAGCAGTGAGCTAGGATGAAGTTCAGTATCACAAAGAATGCACGTGACAGCAACTGGACTGTTGCCAAAAGGCAAGGACCACAAATTCAAGAGCTCTGCTGTGCAACACTCCACGTTATTCCAAAGCATTGAGTTTTACTTCTTACTTAAAGGGAAAAGCGCAGAACACCAACCAATTAAGATCCCCTTTTTCAGAAGATTACATCTGTATGGAGGCCTCTGTCCAAATTAGTGTCAATTTCAAGTCTCCTAAGTTTCAGATTTGATGTGATCAGAGAACTGCTACAGGTCTAGAAATGTCCACTGTACTCTGAGTATCTTCCCAGACAGCCATTTGTACCTTACAGCTGTCACAGGCATATTTCTTTACCATTAGTACAAATGCATGTAAGTAACATATGCAAGAAAATGCCTTTCTTGCTCATCGACAACACAGCTTTCCAAACACTGAATGACAAAGCAAACTTCTAAAAGCTGGGAAGGAAGGACAGGCTGACAGGGAGGCACCTGCCACAGTAAGAAGCACCCACAGAAACAGATACAATTTTAGTGTATCTGTTCTTCCACGCCAAGAAGAATTCTTAACTGCCACAAAAAGGTGGCACATAATAGTACTTGATTAGCTCAGCTCAGGTCAGCAGGTTCTCAATTAAATTACAATGACTATAATAAATCCTACCCGTGTCCTTACTGATTGCCTGAAAGTTCTTTTTTCCTCTCCCTGCTGAGCCTACATTGCTGATACTAAAGGTGGGTGTCCTGGTCTCGGCTGGGACAGAGTTAATTTTCCTCCCAGTAACTGCTGTTTTGGATTTAGTACGAGAAGAATGTTGATAATACTGATGTTTTCAGTTGTTGCTATGAAATCAAGGACTTCTTCCAGTCTCCCATGTTCAGCTAATGAGCGGGTGATTAGCCCCAGAAGTGTGCAGAAAGAGAGGAAAAGAATACAGCAAGAGAAGTGACCAGGTGAGAAGGTACAACAACAATACACGTGTGTATGTTTTGGGGAAGCAATTCCTCACCTTGTAAGTTCCTCCACACATCCACAATACCACTTTTAACCCTCTTAGCATGACATTTCTAGAATTACATGTAACAATTCTCCTTCTCGATTACATAATCTGTGAATTCATCCCACCGCTTGTTTGTTAACCCTGCAAGAACTCATCAGATCAATGTCTGTCACTGGGAAAAATCCAACCTGTTATCTTTAACAGTTTGGAAAAGTTTCTGTCACCACCCCCACACTCCCCCACCCCGTGTCCTGGCCGCCATACCTGGTGCACACAGATATTGCATTTGTCACAGAACACCATTTCGTTGCCGTCTTCTCCATCTGGAGACTGACAGACGTCACAGACAACATCTTCATCATATTCAATCCCAAGTCCTTCTTCCGTCTCGATAGCATGATTCATGTTATCATAGCATCGTTGTTCAAACTCCTCTAAGACCCTTTCCATCGTGTACTCGTCCAGCTCAGGC